GTTTGACTAATAGGGTTTAGGGTTTAGGGTTTAGGGTTTAGGGTTTAGGGTTTATGGGCATGCGTATTGTAGCACTTAATTTATACCAAAGAGACGACCACAGCTCATGGCTGAGGCCGGCAGTGCACATGTGTCTTAGGGCATGCGTGCAGAGATTGGGCCCGATGCAGCACCTATAGCTGCGCCGGAAGCGTGGCATGAATCATTTCACCTCTGGTAGACCATGTGCGTCCATGGCCCACGGGTGCGATTGTGCCAAGCGGAAAATTTCTCAGGCCGTACATGCGTGGCACGCACGCATGCAGCATATATGTTCATCCGCGTGCGCAGGTGCAGCAGATTCTGGCCAGCAGGGTGCCGTCACTAAGCTCGTGCAGAGCTTCCTGGACATGCTCCTGAAGGGGGAGGCCTTATAATATATATGGACACACACGCAAGTGCAAATTAACATGTGTATATATATATATATATGCTAGGGTTTAATATAGGGTTTAGGGTTTAGGGTTTAGGGTTTTAGGGTTTTAGGGTTTTAGGGTTTTAGGGTTTATAGGGTTCAAAGGGTTTAGGGTTTGAGGATTATAGGGTTTAGGGTTTATCGCTGCAGGCATCTATGACGCGGCTGGCAAAGACCTTGGCGGCCATCAAAGAGCTTCCCCATTATTTGGTTCCGTGCTCTATCTGATATTTATTCCCATGCATGCGCTGTGCCGTGTGAGTCCATGCAAGTACGCGAGCTTGTGTATACATGCGGGTGCCTGTGGCGGGCCCTGGCAAGGAATGATATTCTGAGATTAGCCGACCGATTCGAAACCAAGCAGGGCTGGGGCTTGGAGCGAGAGTTCGCTGCGTGGAGTTTGACATTAAGCTGGCGGTCTTGCCTGCCCGAGCCGTACGAGTTGCCTGATCGCATGTCATGCTGGTCACGCACCCACTTGCAAGTCAGATTGGCGAGTTTTCGTAATATCGAACTTGCAAGCTTAAAGGCTGCAGGTGCCGCGAGCAGGGCACTCAGAATACATTGCAGCTAACAACCCGCCATGCCACTATTTTTTTTCGTCAGGTGCCCTTGCCTCCTGGGTCTAGACAGAAGACTGTGCGGATCGGCGTCCTGTTGCCGCATGAGATCTTTGCGCAGCTGTACACGTACGGCAACCATGAACTTTTCCACAGCCTCTTGAGCGGCACCCCTGACGTGTCTTGCATGTATTAGAATTTGACCATTGAATGGGTTTTTGCCGGGTTCTGCCGGGTTTTGCCGGGTTTTGTTTTTACCTCGTTTTTGTTATCTGGAGGGGAGGCCGGGGGGTGGAGGGGCTGGAGGGGCTGGAGGGGCTGGAGGGGCTGGAGGGGCTAAGGGCTGGAAGGGAGGGCTGGAGGGGTGCAGACCTGGAGGGCTGGGGCTGGAAGGGGGGTGCAAAATCGAGCAAATTCACGGGCTGGAGGGGGCTGCAGGGCTTGGGGGCTAGAGGGGGCAGGGGCTGGAGGGCTGGAGGGGGGGCTTGGGCTGGAGAGGCTGGAGGGACTTGGAGCTTCCCGGTTTGGACCTCCCAAACCGGGTGCAGGCTGAAAGGGGCTGCAGCTTGAATCCTTTTGGTTCCTTGCATTGCGATTGTGAACTGCAGGATTATTGTACGAGCTACTCGTAATGAATCACATACCATTACTATTTATCCTGGCCTTGAGGGTTTAGGGTTTATAAGGTTTAGGGTTTATAAGGTTTAGGGTTTAGGGTTTAGGGTATACCATATATGGTATATGTATATATATATATATATATTATCTATATCTATAGGAGCTGAGACGCTTCTGGGCGAACAATGGCGATCTATCGGACCAAGTCAAAGAAGCGTTCGGTTCGGACGTATCTCAACTGCAAATATATCTATATATATATATATATATATATTTCTTACAATATATATATATATATATATATATATTTCTTAGAAAACATATATTGCACGCATGCTGCTGAGAAGGTACTTTTGGCAAACACGATCCCCTGGCGCCTCTACGGGGACGGCGCTGAAGTTTTCGGTGCCATGCTCATGCAGCCATGCATGCGTGCATGATCTAGATTGCATCGATGGATTAATTTGACACGTGCAGGCAGCTCCAACTTCGAACTCCTAAGCCTCGTTTCGGTGGTGCCAGGGCGCACCAACACGTTGGACACACGAATTCCGCTTCTGCACTTAAATATATATATATATAATATGCATTCATGCATGCATGCATCATGTGATTGAGGCTTCCGTTTTTGTACATGCATGCATTCCAAGGATAGCAATTCGAAGCACCACCACCTCCGGCGAGGACAGTCCGGTACAATCGATCATGCGCATGCATGTATATGCAGCCTATGCAGCTATATATATATATATATATAGTGCGTTATATTTTCGCCTTGCAGGACTGCCGCAAATTACTTTTGGAGATTATCGCATGGTCATTTCGATGTTTAGGCGCCGTGCGGTGCAATGACATGCATGTACGATTTTATATCCATGCAGTCGAATGCACATGCACTCATGTGTACCGAAGCACGCTTGCTGAGGAGATGGCCGCTGGCCTCAGACAGATCCTTTCGGATCTCCGTGGCCCAAAGGTTCTGTCAGGTCGTTAAATGCTGGCAAGAAGCTCGCCGGACCCTGGCGTGCGGTGTTCGGTGGATTACAGGGCGACCAGGACTTCCTACACAAGATTCTGAACTTCAAAAGAATCTCCGCGCGTATATGTGTGTGCATGCATGCTACTAGTGATTGAAACCCTACAAACCCTAAACCCTAAACCTTATAAACCCTAAACCCTATAAACCGTAAACTATAAACCCTCAACCCTAAACCCTATACCTTAAACCCTAAACCCTAAACCCTATAAACCCTATAAACCCTATAAACCCTATATATAGTAAGATATACGCATGCATGCTGCTGAGGATCATGGCACTCCAAGCGTGTCGAATGCTGCCACTACTGTGAGGCGCATGCATGAATACAGACGGAGCGGCCAATTGTTATATATATATATATAGAGAATTTTAAATTTGTCGATTTCAATCTGCACGCATGCAGGCCACCCAGATCCTGAAACCAGGCGGCGACGCTCGCATGCTGTACACAGAGTACGGTCCAGATGCAGCGCACAGAGAGACGCGCCTTGCCACGTAGAAGTGCGCGGCTGACAAGTTCATGCGTGCGTGGGTGCATTCCCCTTGACACGTGCCAATGCCCTAGGGTGCTGCAGACCAGAGAAGACTGGGTGGCCGTGCATGGGCAGAATGTCATCACTGGCATGGTTGGCTTCTCACCTCGGAGTTTTCTGTCCAAAGTTCATTAATACTTTATCCGAGCTCTTTCCATGTTTGTCTGTTTTCTGTAGTCGACTAGCATGCATGTGCATCTTATGAGCCGAGCGCTGAAACAGGAATTTTCCCAGACATCCTGCATGTGCTGGATCTGCAGATCAGCCCAGACTGCATTACAAGCGCTCTCTTGGACTTCTCGGACAAGGGGGTTTTGGATGGCAGATCAAGGGACGCCCGCCTGGATGTCATCGCCCAGAAGTACTTCACTTGGTGTGCCTCCGAAGGATCATTGGCTGTTCGTACTGCCTAGCATGCGAGCGCAATCCAGTCGATTTCACACGCATGCATGCATGCAAATGTGCAGGAGTCACTGTCAAAGCGAGCCCCAAGCTGTTCCTTATCAAAACGATGCTGGCAGATGGACCTGGGACCTACCCAAGGGTGTCCCAGAAGTTCTTGAAAGGTGCTGCTTCGAGATTCGTGATTTACTTTTTGATGGAGTTCTCTCGCGAGATGCACCGGAAGACTGGTGACCGCCTCGATGCCTGCCGAGCCAATCTCTTTTCCGCTTTGGCCTCGCTGCTGACATTGTTTGCTGAGCATGGGAAGCCTGCCTGAAAAAGCATGCATGCATGCATGCAAAACACGTTCTGCAGCACACATATACAATACCTGGTTTCGGATTTGGGCTGTAGGGTTTTTGGCTGTATGGGGTATAATGCTTCCTAGCCTCCACTGTGTGACATGCCCATGCAATAAGATCTATAGGCGCTACTTCAATGTCGATGCCTGCAGCGACGACCATCCGGAACTTCTCGCACAGCATGCGTACTTGTCCTATCGGTTCCACTACAACCAGATGGTCCAGTGGGCACTGAGCCAGAACCTCCTCAGATACCAGCTCAGACCAAAAATTCACATACTGGAACATGTGCAGCCCGCCTTGCGATGAAGATCATCCGTGCATGCATGCTTGATAATATATATATATACTATATATATGTATAAGTATATATATATATATATGTATGTATTTATAGATATATACGTGCATATAAATATAAATATAAATATAAATATAAATATAAATATAAAATTAATATATATATATATATATATATATTATATGTATATATATATATATTGTTGAAAAAGTAGCAGATCGATTTATATAGGCTCACACACATGCGTGTCCTATTTGTTTTCTTCTTTCACTATAAGGATCCTGGACTTTATCCCGGACATTGGCAACCCAAGATACTACAGCTGCTTCCTGGACGAGGATCTGATAGCCAAAATGAAGTACCTAGCCTGCAATTGAGTGGCCTGGATACATGCATACATACGTGCGTGCAGCCCTGTCCATCCACCCACATGTGCAAGGAAGATCGTTGAACACACTCACCCGAAGACAATGAGTGTGCGAGCTCTGGAGCATTATGCTGTCATGGCGGCTATGCGATGGACAGGAGGCTTCTCCAACCCGCGCGCGTGAAAAATGAAGATGGCCGCACTCACATGCATGCATGCCCTATATAAACCGGAACCCTCAACCGCATAGTATTTGAAGTTTCCCGCTTCGCACGCATATATAAGTTAATTGAGCATGCGTGTTTTCCCCGTTTTGTAAACGTGTTGTATAGCTAAAGAAGAACCTAAACGAACTATACGGTCGACCTACATAAAGGCCGACCTATACGTACACCCGGCCTGTGCTGGGTGGCTTGGCAGAGCCACTCTGCTCCTCCAGAGCCTCTTGGTCCTCCAGAGCCTTCTGCTCTTTCAGGGCCTTGGCCAGACCCATCTTCTTGACCACAGCTTTGCTTGCAGTCTTGAGCAGATTCTTCTTGACAGACTTCTTTGTCTGAGATTTGGGCTCAGCAGCACGAGGAACCAGACGAGCCAGAGCTTGCTGCTGAGACATCGTCTTCAGACGATGCCTCATGGCCTCCAGAAGCTTGCCATGCAGCTTCTTCTTAGCCAGAGCCAGCATGGCCTTGACATCCCTGCGTTCCCGCTTCTTTGCCAGAGCGTCATCAGAGGTGGCCAGCTGCTTCCGCCAGGCTGTCCTCTGAAGATCCAGACTCAGGGTCAGAACCCCAGACTCAATGCACGGGATTTGCAGATCCTCGGGGAGTTCAGGCACAGCGAGCAGAGCTTCCTCTTCAGAGGACAGCACGTGAGGATGGTTCAGCGACCACTCCACCAGATCCGCAACGGCTTGGGCGCCAGCGATGGCAGACCAGTCCGGCTTCACAGGCACAGAGCCCACACGCCAGAGGAAGCGGTCCTCCAACCAGGATGGCTTCGTGCGAGCAGAGCCTGCAAAAGAAAAAGCTACGTCGTCAGTTAAGAAAGACAGAGTGCCAGTTACAGAAGCATCAGATCGTTATGAAATCGTCAGACCTCAATATATGCAGCCTAAAGACCCATGCTTTGGCCGCAGCACTCTGCATCCGTCAGAGGCACCAGTTTGCCAGAGCTCAAGTCAGGCTTGTAAGCCAGAATGCCATTCCGCCTCAGACCAGAAACGATCCAGTCCTTCTCGTCCTGCCTGCGAGACATCTCGTCTTGTGCAGAGACCACACAGCGGATCAGATCGAGGTGGGAGCAGTGCCAGATCTCCTTGTTCCCAGAGGCGAACAGAGCTGTCTGGCCAGCATGCCTGACAAGGGAACAGATGAGCTTCAGAAGAAACAATCGCTCAGAGACCCTGAAGACACTTCAGAAACCCCTTGCTGGCCTCAGACGATCCATTTCAGAGCGACACAGACTCTTGAAGCTCCGAGAGAAGTCTGTGTCAGTCAACTGCAGACTCGCAGTCATCTTAGGACCAATAATGGTCTGCAGACGGTTGCTGTAAAGCAGAGACTCGGCGGCAGAGGAGGACCAGGCCGCAGCGTAGCAGTCTCGCTGCTGGATGCAGACAGGCGTCAGAGCCGCCAGCTCCTGCTGGGCCCAGACGTAGATGACGCCATCTACGTTCGCAGACGGCTGACTCATCACAGAGATACGTCTGAAGAGTTCTGGGTCAGACTGTCTGGCTTTCCGCCAGCCAAAGAGCAGACGGCCGGCAGAGGTCTTCGCCTTCCGCACCACCAGAGTGCCGTTGTATTCGAAGGTCTCATCAGAGATGAACTTGCCAGCAGAGTCTATGTTGTTCAATCGAGCATGCGCTCCATGAACAACTAACAGACCCGGCAGCACCTTGCCCACAAGAGGAGCATCGGAGCAGAGGTTGTACAGACCCTGTCTGGCCTCGTACGTCAGACGGTACCTGTGTGCATCAGGGTCAGCAAAAGACCGTTTCTGACGCTGTCCAGAGTTCTTGCGTTTCTCAGTCACAGCAGGCAGCTCAGCCGACAGCAGAGGCGGCACCTGGCTGTCGGAGGTCCGGTCAGCAAGAGTGCGGGTGTGGTGGTCCAGAAGCTCTTGTCTCAGCAGAGACTGCGGGTACGGGTCAGACTCCCATTTCGCATACACCTCCTTCTCAGAACCAGACTTCAACCACAGGGGCACCTGGTCGGCGAAGAGCAGGACCATGGACTGCAGGTTGGCACGCAGAACAGCAGGTTTGCTGACCCTTTCCCGCAGTTCTGCCTCAGGGCCGAAACAGGTCAACCAGAGGGTGTGGTCCAGGGCCTGGTAGGTCAACTTTGCACGAACCACCTCGTCAACCTCAGAGACCTGAGTCTTCAGGTCCGGGACCATGTCCTTCGCTCGCAGATCTTTCATCAACTGCTTGAGACGGTTCCTTCCAGAGTCCACCGCAGAAGACTTGAGCTGCTTCTCACCTTCAGAGACCAGTTGAAGCAGAGCGGCTCGCTCGTGGCGGTCCACAGCAGCCTCAGACTGCTGCCGCAGATCCAGAAGCTCCTTCGTCATCAGCAGACGCCACTGCTCCAGAATGTGGACCTTCTTGACAGAGTGGCCGTGGCAGCGCTGGGTCTCAAACCAGACAAGCAGACTGTCTCGGACAGCCGTGAAGGCAGACTTCCTCCCACCACCAGGCAGACGGTATCCACGATACCGGCGCTGCGTCGCAGTCCTCTTCAGGCCTTTGGCCCCAGTAGAGACGTGAGGTTGCAGAGCGAAGCCATGGTGCTTCTGCAACCTCGCCAGAATGTCTCTGCGCTGCCAGATCTTCCGGACCTTCATCAAAGACAAGCCCATCTTCTTGCTCATCGCTGTCAGCAAGGTGTGCTCAGAGCTGAAGTCAGGCAGCGCTTTCTTCATCTTCAGCGTCAGAGCATGCTGGACCGCCAGAGGCATCTCAGAGCTACGGCTGGCCCTGCGGCCCTTGGGCCTGCCGCCCTGCCTCCGCCTCCTCTCAAACTCTTGGCGAACACCAGATTGCTCGAGGCGCCGCTTCTCAGAGGCTGCTTTAGCAGCTTGCTCAGATGCAACTTCTCTGAGAACCTGCTTCATGGCCTCAGACATAGGCCTGCCTTTGGCTTGCGGAGCGGGCTTGTCTCGCAGAGCCGGCAGGTAAGCTTCCGGGTGGTCAGGCTTGCAGAACCGCAGCAAGGTCGTCTGCTTCTCAGTCCGCGGCCAGAAGCCTGCCAGCAGAAGAACTTGGCAGAGTGCTGAGAATAATATCAAGAAGAAGAAAAAGACAAGATCGAGTCCCTCAGACGATCCTTCAGCCTTCGGGTCCTGGTCTAAGTCTGAAGAGAACAGTCCCTGAAGCTTAAGACTTCAGCCTTCGGGTCCTAGTCTAAGTCTGAAGAGAAAAGTCCCTGAAGCTTAAGACTTCAGCCTTCGGGTCCTGGTCTAAGTCTGAAGAGAAGAGTCGCTGAAGCTTAAGACTTCAGCCTTCGGGTCCTGGTCTAAGTCTGAAGAGAACAGTCCCTGAAGCTTAAGACTTCAGCCTTCGGGTCCTGGTCTAAGTCTGAAGAGAAGAGTCCCTGAAGCTTAAGACTTCAGCCTTCGGGTCCTGGTCTAAGTCTGAAGAGAAAAGTCCCTGAAGCTTAAGACTTCAGCCTTCGGGTCCTGGTCTAAGTCTGAAGAGAAAAGTCCCTGAAGCTTAAGACTTCAGCCTTCGGGTCCTGGTCTAAGTCTGAAGAGAAGAGTCCCTGAAGCTTAAGACTTCAGCCTTCGGGTCCTGGTCTAAGTCTGAAGAGAAGAGTCCCTGAAGCTTAAGACTTCAGCCTTCGGGTCCTGGTCTAAGTCTGAAGAGAAGAGTCCCTGAAGCTTAAGACTTCAGCCTTCGGGTCCTGGTCTAAGTCTGAAGAGAAGAGTCCCTGAAGCTTAAGACTTCAGCCTTCGGGTCCTGGAATTCAGGAAACCGGCACAGGTCTGAAAGCTCGGTTTCCTTACTAAAATCCTTATCCGCCGGAGCTCGAAAACAAGTCCGGCAAGGGTACCCCTTACGGGCCTCGAAAATGACAATAATAAAGGGTGGCAATAATGAATTCGGCGACGGGGGGGGGGGGGACCAAGAAGCCTTAAGTTTAAATTGCTTCCTGTAATTAAGTCTCAAGACAAGAGTCCCTTAAGCTTAAGACTTCAGCCTTCGGGCCCTGGTCTAAGTCTCAAGACAAGAACCCCTGAAGCTTAAGACTTCAGCCTCCGGATCCTGGAATTCAGGAAATTGCCAGAAATCTGAGAGCAGGGTTTCCTTAACTTCATCTCTCAAGCAAGAAGCACACAGAGAAGCTAAGCTGCCTCCAGACTTGTCTGCTGGGTCTGCTGGTACCAGAGCAGAGCTTGCAGAGGGTAGAACCAAAGCAGACCTTGCGGTCTCAGGCTGCTGAGCCATTTCATCTTCAGAAGAAGAAATCTCCACAGCCATTGCTGCGAGATCTAGCTGCCTACAGACAAGCAGTCTTGTGGCCAAAATGGCCTGCCTGCAGAACAAAAACATGAGTGGCAGAGAGGTGCCTTATCTGCAGAAGCCAGGCAGTCAACAGACGGGGCAAGAAACTCCATCCCTCAGACTCCTCCGACCTTTTGCTTCGCTGCTTTACAGAGCCACAGAAGTCTCAGATTCAAAACCTTTTGCTTGGCTGCTTCACAGAGCTACCGAAGTCTCAGACTCAGAGCCCTCTACGTCTTCCCACTCAGAGTCCGCCTCGCAGACAGAAGAACGCTCAGAAGTGGGGGTCTGGGCCTCAGAGTGGCCCAGCTCAGAGATGTCTTCTGCAGACATCACATGGACCCGAGAGGCCCAAGGCAGCCACAGACGAGATCCGACAGAGACATCTCGTCTGCTGCAGAGCCACCCAGAAAGTGTCCAGCTCCGAGCAGAGCCTCCGTCAGCCAGATCGGTGAATTGCTCACCAGTGGCCAGACACCACCACTTGTCGCAGCCAGGCAGATCGAGAAAGGCACAGATCTCGACTGCAGCTTCTTCGCAGAACCCGAAGCGTCGCTTCAGAGTCAGAACAGCAGCGTAGGTGGCAGCAGAGCTCGCAGCATTCGCAGCCATGCTAGACTCTCTTCAGAGTACAGAGCTTCTGTGCCAAAAAATCAGCGAAACAGAATCAACCAAGCTTCCAAACTCAAACTGCAGCAGGACTGTCTCAGACACGAGCGAAGCAAGGAGCGAAGCAGAATGTTTTTTTAAGCGCAAGCCGTGAGCCGAATCAGCCTGCGACTGGCCAAGATCCTTTGGACAGAAGCCAACTAAACTACTCTGCTAGCGGATCAGAGTTCAAGTTCCGCAGGTGATCCTTCTGATCTTCGGACAGACTGTCCCAGATCCCAAGAAAGGGCTCAGGGGCGTTCAAGAGGGCCTCCTCGCTCACGCCCTCCATCTGCAGAGTGGTTGCGTCAGACTCCGGAGACTGTTGAGAGTACCCCAGGTCGTCAGGTTTCTCCTTCAGAGGGGCCTTGGGGGTCTGCGGGGCAGGCTTCTTGTCTGGCGTGCACAGACCAGACGCCTCAGACTCAGGAAGAGGAGACGGGGGAAGCTTCGCAGCAGGCTTCTTTGTCGACTTGTTCGCAGAAGGTTTCTTCAGAACTTTGCCCATGGCTCTCTCAGAGTCCCAAAATTTTAAGAACAGTAATTAAGGCCAGCCGAAACTTTTCATGTGCAGACAACAATAAATTTGTCAACCAAATGTTCAATCCAGACATGTGTGCGACAGACATGCAGCTGCACTTGCAACCAGATTGTTTTGGGCACCTTCAGACACCGCGTGCTTGCTTTCTTAAAAAAGCTGAGCTCGACCGCTCCAAAACAGAAACAAAACAAAACAGAAACCCCAGCTAACTGAACCCTAAACAAGTTAAACCCTAAGTCCTGAACCCTGAACCCTGGAACCCTGAACCCAAAACCCTAAACCCTAATTAAACCATTAAACCCTAACAGCGGGAGCCAGCAGAGTCTGCTCTTCAGATCAGAGCGTGGCATCTCAGCAGAGCCTGCCCATATTAATTAGGGTTTAGGGTTAAGGGTTAAGGGTTTAGGGTTGAGCCGCATAGGGGGGGGGGGGGGGGGGGGGGTGAGGGACTGTGTTCGTGTTTATACATATGTAATTCTATATAATCATATATGTATATATGTATAGATACATATATATATATGTGTATATACACAGGAAAAATAAAAACATATCATCTAAACCCTCCTTGTAATTGTATATATATATATATATTTATTTATTTATTTATATTTATATTTGTATTTATATTTATACACATATTTATATATGGTGAGAAATTATATAATTATATGAATATACATGTGTATATATATACATACATATATATATATATATATAAACATATATATATATACACATAACCCTTAACCCTCAACCCTAAAGGTTTAGGGTTTAGGGTTTAATTAGGGTTTAAACCCTCAACCCTTAATTAACCCTCAACCCTCAACCCTAAACCCTCAACCCTCAACCCTAATTAAACCCTCAACCGTAATTAGGGTTGGGGGTTTAGGGTTTAGGGTTTAGGGTTTAGGGTTTAGGGTTTAGGGTTTAGGGTTCAACCCTCAAGCCTCATTAAACTCTAAACCCTCAACCCTAAACCCTCAACCCTGAACCCTAATTAAACCCTCAACCGTAATTAGGGTTGGGGGTTTAGGGTTGAGGGTTTAGGGTTTAGGGTTTAGGGTTTAGGGTTTAATTAGGGTTTAAACCCTCAACCCTTAATTAACCCTCAACCCTCAACCCTAAACCCTCAACCCTAATTAAACCCTCAACCGTAATTAGGGTTGGGGGTTTAGGGTTTAGGGTTTAGGGTTTAGGGTTTAGGGTTTAGGGTTTAGAGTTTAGGGTTTAGGGTTTAGGGTTTAGGGTTTAGGGTTCAACCCTCAAGCCTCATTAAACTCTAAACCCTCAACCCTAAACCCTCAACCCTGAACCCTAATTAAACCCTCAACCGTAATTAGGGTTGGGGGTTTAGGGTTGAGGGTTTAGGGTTTAGGGTTTAGGGTTTAGGGTTTAGGGTTTAGGCCTCAAGCCTAATTAAACCCTAAACCCTGAACCCTATAACTAAACCCTCAACCCTAGTGCACTAAACCCTCAACCCTAATTAAACCCTAAAACCTCAACCCTAAACCCTCAACCCTAAACCCTCAACCCGAATTAAACCCTCAACCCTAAACCCTAAACCCTCAACCCTAACCCTCAACCCTAAACCCTAAACCACCCCCCTCCCCCCCCCCTTCCAGATCTGGCCTCGGCCAGATAAAAGAGAGATCAGATACCAGATCTCAGCAGATCCTGCCCAGAAGGAGGGATTAAAAGGGCTTAGGGAAAGTTGGTTTAGGGTTTAGGGTTGCATTGGTGTTTAGTTAGGGAGGAGGATTCAGAAAGGTTCACCCATCGGGTTAAACCCTAAACCCTAAACCCTAAACCCTAAACCCTAATTAAACCCTTGTCGCCTCGACCGGAGCAGGGTTCAGAGATGCACCAGCCAGAGTCGCAGACACCTGTCAGGGTCCCGAACAAAACCAGATTTAGGTTGTGGGGTTTAGGGTTTAGAGTTTAGGGTTTAGTTAGGGGGTTTAAACCCCAAACCCAAAACTTGAAAGGGCCTCAGCCAGAGGGGGCAGCAGAGGAGCCCAGAGCTGGCAGCTGGGGGCGCATGTAGGCGTCAGGCCACCAGACCTGAAAAGGGGCTCACAATACTACCCAATAAACCCAAATTAACTAAACCCTAAACCCTAATTAAACCCTAAACACTCCAAAGCCCTGAGCCCTCAATCCCAGGCCTGGTCGACAAGGTTGGCCCAGCTCCTTTGGTTAAAGGCCGCCAGGTCACGCAAATACGTCTGATGTTGCTTCATGTCGACCAAGCCTAGGATGAGG